AAAATATTTAATGATGCCGATTTCTTGGGAAATACATATAATAATATTAAAATTTACTTTTTCCCCTGAGTGGGAATTTTTAGGGTATTTTACTAGGTATTTTTAAGAGAGATTTTCCCTTATATGATTAGTACTGGCTATGTCTGTTATGTTAATTCTGATTTTCTTGTCGGGAAGAGATACTCTTGCAGGAGACACTCTTCATCTTGTGGTTTCAGTGTGGACATAGCTCCTGTGGCTTTTGGGTGCTTTCTTGTGGAGTGAGGGGAAGTGAAGTATAATTGTGTGTTATTTTGAAAATGACTGATGGAGAAGGTTAGGCACCTTCCACAGAGCTGAGCTGAGCAGGACACGGTTCTGCTCCAAGGACACGGTCCCTGCTTCTCACTGGGGTGGACCTCCCTGCATCTGACAGGGAGCTCACAGCGAGTCCTACCACCAGCCCTCCACGGGCTCTGGCTCTCACCAGGGCAGAGGTGGCTTGTTTCCCAGGACTAGGCTTGTCTGGGCAGCTGGGCATCCAGTGTGTAGACCCTTTGCAAAGCTCATCTTCCAGAGGTTAAGGATTTGCCCCAACTCCTTAGTGACATATTGTAGAGGTCTCATGCATAGCTGAATATACTCAAAATGGTAAAAAGTTCATTTTTATTTGTCTTCAATCTGATTAACATTTTGATTGGGGTCTTAAATTATTATATTATATTCATATTGATCCAATGACACAAATATGGAATGGATAACTAATATTTTTGATGAATGGACAAAATGATCAGATCTGAACTAAATTGCAAATCAAACAAAAGAAAATGTAATAGGGTCGATATGAAGACTGACACTTCCATTAAAAATAAATTGCCCAACTGTGGGCTGGGGATGGGGGAGACCTATATTTATGACAATTAATGTGAAAGAGTGCTGAATGTTTCAGGAGGCTTGACTGATAAGTCAGGTGTGATAGGATATAACAGCACATTTTACTCTGCACTGACCAGGGGAACATCTGGAATCTTGTTGCCAATGTGGGAGCCACACACTGGCTTCAACACCTGTAGAGAAGTCCATCAGCCTAGCAGCTGGGATCACCCCAGCAGGACGAAATAAAGCTTAGGGGCTGTGATTGGTCCCTCAGACACCTGGGGTTCCCTCTGATGGGAGAGGAATCACCAGGCAGATTCTAGAACCCGTGGCAGAAGCTACAGGAGGAAAGTTCACCAAAATCTAATAAAGAAATTTATAGCCATTGCAGCTGTGTAGCAATGAAATGGGCTACATCACAGCTTATAAACTTTCTGTCCCTCAGTTTCTCAGATGCCGGAGAAGGGACTCAGGATGAGTGGGACTTCCCTGGAGATACCTTTTCTGGAAGTTAATTCAAGATTAATGCATTTTAAAGAGTCATCTTTTCTATATCTGTCATGAAATTCAGTTTGCTCTGTGGGAGGTTACTTTATGCCTATTCATGTGTCCAGATTTTAGCTATACTTTTCCATGAAAATGTTGAAAATGTCACATGGCTTAGTATTTAGAGGCGTCAGTGAACTCGCATCCCCGTGTCTGACGCTGCTGTTGCGTTGCTCCATCTCCGTTCTCAGCACCAGTCTCCGTCTCCACCCTCTCAGCCAGGATTTATCTCATTTCTCGAACATTTAATAAAATGTATGCATCCCCAACGCACATCTCTTTGGCTCTCTGTGAACCTTATTGGGGATATAAATCAGGAAATGGTAACAAAAATCTTCCAGAATAGTGGTTAGCAAACTTCTCTCATTAATCTTTCAGAGGCTCAGGGCTGCCACCCCCAGAGCTCCACTTCCCTTACCCCAGAGTCCTCTGTGCCTCCCACCATCTCTGCTTCCAGTACAACCAGGATTAGCAGCCTATGGGCTTGAACGTAGTCAATTCCCATCCTGGAGAAAGCCCACTGTGATTTTCTCCATCTAAATCTCCAATTTGTATTCAAAAAGTCTACACAGTGAGGATGTCTCTGTTTCTGCAGGTTTTAGAATCAGTCTAATTTTGGAATAAGACTTGGTTAATATCAGCAGAGAATTCACATTTTTTTTTGAGGCAACCTGGAGGTCCACGGGGCTTTGGTGCATCACCATCTCAGGGTGGTGGGTGCTGTATGTGGTCTGCTGTGAGGCTGAGTCGGGAGCAGCTCTGGGAGCCTGTAGTCTCTCTGATGTGACTGTGCCTCACTAAACACTGACAGTCCAGAGCCCAGGATCTCGGCTGGTTCGTATGAAAGGTGGTAACAAGATCTTAACAAAGGCCACTTGCAGGCCTGGCTGAGCTTAGCAGGGGTGACTGTTAATTGTTGAAAGGACAGTGCCTGCAGGAATGTGCCCAACAAAACAGCTGTCTGGCTTTCTGGGGTGTCAGAAGTCATCAGAGCAAGACATCATCGTTCACACTGAGGGTCAAGAGTTACAGCCCTGCCTTTGTCCTTGGCTGGGGCCTGTGTTGGGAGAGGTCTGTCCTGCTGGGTGGACTCCTGAACCAGAAAGGAAAGTGCTGGTGCTGCCCATTTGAGTGCCCAGGCTTCCCTCTGGCAAACGCTGTCACAGGTTGTGATTTCTGGCGATGGCAGTGTGGTTACCTGGACTTAGAAATGCTGAGGCTCACCCGTAACACATTGTTTGCAGGTGGTTTTTATCGTGCGCTCTACCACTAGTCAACGTAAAACGTATAAATACGTTTCCTGCATACAAAGGACGTGTGGAATGGACCGGAACTTTCACTGTTCTTAAATTTTTATAAACTGATTTTGCTCTCACTCTTATCACGTGTTGTGTTCTCCTGTCACACTGAGTATTTGTAGAAAGGGAATGCGTTGTCTCACCACCTCCCTTCTCCTGTCCCTGTTGTCTGCACGCTCACCTGGCACCAGCATCTTTGTGGCAGAAGAGGCTGGCACTGTCTTCTGTGTCTAGCTTTCCACCGTCTGCTGAGCTTCTCTCTGCCACCCCGGCAGGAATCATGACTGTCAGTCAGGTTTTATGGTAAATGAAAAAGGCCATGCAGCCCAACCCTGTCCTTAGGACTCTGCCTTCATGACCGTGCTCAGTGCCTGTCCTGCTCAGTGCAGTGACATGGGCCACCTGTGATAGGTGGGATGGAAGAACTGAATGCTTATTTTTTTCCCATTTTAATTAAGTATAAATAGGCCTATGGACCAGTGGCTGCCTTATTGGGCAGCACAGTATTTGCTGAAGAATTCATAGCATCAGACAAGGTGTTAGGTAAAAGTACCATGACTCACCCTTCTAAATGCCTCTTTTCTATATTTAGCCAAGTGGTACTTAGAAGTAATGCTGCATTATTTTTGGTAGATATTAGAATGATCATCAAAAAATGAGAGAAAAACCGACATCCACATAACAGACAACAGAGACCATTCTCCACACTGGGCTCGGAGCTGTACAGATCTGCTTTACACGAGCGCTGCTTTCACAAGTGTTCCAAGTGAGGCCATAATTTTTCCATTTCATGTGTGAGAGGGAAGTGAGGTGCGTCAATTTAAAGTAACAAAGTCAGGTGCCACAGCAGTAGGGTGGGGCCAAGGCTTGAATCTGGGGG